TGTCAGCTTTGGTGGACCAAGTTCACATCTTCTTGGTGTCTGAAATGGATTTGATCCACCAAAGCCTACACTAAAATAAGTCTGTTGGTCTCTAAAGTGCCATAATATTTTGCCTTCCTCTCCTTCCTCTTTAATTTTGCCAACACAATTCAGAGGGGTTTCAGACTACAATAATTCAAGGAACAAGTGTTTCAAAAGGTTTTGCACACATATGCTGCCTTTTCTTTCTCAATATATTTTTTGTGTGAAGAAAAAAAAGATGAAAAATTGATGGGAAAACATAGGCAGGCTGCCAGTAGAAAGCAAAGATGTCAGGACCCCAGATAATGTCTGTGTTTGGTAAATGAACAACAGCAGTTTCATCAGAAAGCACTTACAAACAGGTGTGCCACATGGGATTGTACCTCTCTGGTCCCATGTTGTGCACACTTTGAGCCACAAGATAAAAATTTAATAAACATAACTATTGAAGAGGAGATCAAAACCGGTGGTGGTGGAAGACTCCTAAGTGTATTTATGCCAGCTTTGCACAATGTACTGGAATTGTACTCTTGCTTGTTCCAGTTCCATGGTTCTTTGTCCTTCTTCCATCAAAGATAAGGGTTGAAAAAGCAAAATGTGTTACTTGGAGGAGACGTATCTGAACAAGCAACCTCTTGAATAAGTTTATGACTGCATTACCTGACATTGCCACAGGGCTCCTTTGGCTATAGATGCAGACAGTGTCTGTGTCTTTTGCAAGGAGGAATGGTGGCCATGTGAAGGAACATCCTTCAAATGCCCTGGGAATTTGGTTGCCTCCCCATCCAATTAATGTGTAGATATTAGCTGGACTATATTTGGGGGTGAGGTGGGGGCTCATCTTCAAATAGCCCAGTCCATGAGATGTCAGTGTTATAGATATTGTATTCTCAAAGGCTTTCATGGCTGGGATCCGACGGTTATTGTGGGTTTTCTGGGCTGTTTGGCTGTGTTCTTAAGGTTTTTCTTACTAACATTTTGCCAGTCTCTGTGGCCAGCATCTTCAGAGGACAGGAGTCAGAACTCTGTAGGTTCTGACTCCTGTCCTCTGAAGATGCCGCAACCCACAACAACCATTGTTATAGATATTGTCAATGGTACAATTCCTGAATGGTGTGCTATAGTACTGTTCCCAGGGCTACTGGATTGTAAGCCTCTTGCTTTTCAGCAACAGAAACTGATGCCACATCCCAACAGTGCAACATGGAACTGATGCCCAGCAACCACACTCTACAAAGATATGGACAAAAGCCAGTAGGAGAATGTACTGTATTTTGAGCATGAATGAAAATTTTCTGCCCAGCCTTTACTTGAAAATCTCACTTCAGGAAAGCTGGGGAAAAGCCAAACATTACAAGTAACACCTATTCTACACCTCCCACTCTCTGATATTCTGACACATTCTAAATATCCACTTAATTTATCACCATGTCATATGTCATAAAAGTATGGGGAAAGCAGAAATGGGTAACATCCTTTTGCCTAATTTTTCTTGCTTCTTGTGCATTGTATAATGTCCACTAATTCCACAGATACAGAGGTCATCTGTATTTCTGTTCTGACAATTCTCAGTTCCCCCCATATTTATTTTCTTGGTAAAACCAATATGGCTACCGAGACTTAAGCCTGGTCTGTAAAATTAAATACTGCTCTAGGGATATAGTGGACCGTACTATCTCAGTCTGCAGATGGAATGGTGGGGGCATATTCTGAATGTTCCTACTTGTGAAGTAAATATATATATTACCAATTTTTAAAAGTGAAATGAGATAAACATTCTAACCCAATCTGCATGGATATTGTTGCTGGGATGCATTTTGTTTTTACATAAGGGCTAATCTCCCATTTGTAGTCAGCAGTGGTACAATCCATTCTTCCTCATCCCTAACTCCTTTTGCTGCATATATGTAGACAAGGCCTGAAATCTCCAGGGAATAAAATTATATAACATGCCTAAGCAATTTATAGTACTGCTGAGCTATTCAACAATTACTACAAGAGAACCACTGATACTCCATACAAGGTGAAAGGTCTATATTATTTTGAATACTAGTATCCCCAAATGTATGCAAATAGATGGTAGAACATATTTGCACATGGCACTTATGGGTTGTAGACAATATTGATATTTCCCACAGCAATTATAAGCACTAAGGATCAGGATTTTTAAAAAACAACAACAACAACAGTATTAGCACCAATATTTTAGTAGGTATAGTAGTGGTTTAAGCACTAAGGATCAGGATTTTTTAAAAACAACAACAACAGTATTAACACCAATATTTTAGTAGGTATAGTAGTGGTCAATTAACTTGAAATGATCCAATGGATCATCAGAATAAACATTCCAGCCTGATATTTTATATATAAAAGACACTGTTATAAAAATTATTACAAAATAACCTTCAAGAAGTCTCCAGAGATGTTGGGGTTGAGTACTATTTAGATACAGCAGCTTCATCTGGAACAGGCAATAGGCTCATCACACGATGGTATATCTCTAAGCTTGCTTATAACAACATAATAATTCCATTTTACTGTGGACAATTGCCTAAGTCTACCATTATTCTAGAAGTGTGAAAATCCCCCTGGCATAGTTTTGCAGGACTATATTGTTGCACAAACAACTCTGCAAGCAGTGGCACAAAATATTGCACACCATCTTGCATACATCCTAATATACCAGTTGTACAACCATAAACTGCTATGGAAAGCTCACGTATACCTCCTACATGGAAATCCAGATATCTTTGGCACAGAAGGGTGTGTGTGTTGCCTATGCTCCAAGCAGGAGTAGGCTGTGCATATGGCCTTGGCAAAAAAATAATAATAATAACATGTCAGGTTCATCTACCTATGGGAGAGGCATACATGGGTTTCCCATAGTTGGTTTATTGTATGCTAATGATCGTCCAAACGTTGGCAACAAAGGAGAAGGAAAAAATTTTCCTGAGCCCATGGGAAAGTGGTTTATACTTTGCTTTAAAAAACAACAATACCACAGCATTCTCCTACCAGTAATTGACTTTTACTAACAAAATAAACAAGGGGATAAGACTCAAGGCCTACTCATATGTATAAGTGTACAGTATATTCTTTTCAAACCCTTCAAATTCCTGCTAGAATTGGTTTATAATTTTAGGAGTCCTAGATGTCTGTCTGGATTTGTTTGTTTTTGTTGCAAAACAAGTGAATACAACACCACATGATCTTCTACTTTTGCCTGTTCCTGGTGGCTGAGATTACGCATATGGTACCATGAACCAGCCCAGCCTCACTGGGCTACAATTAAAAATCAGATGAAATATCACAATATAGCTTCCATCATAATGAAGGGAATGCACAATGGCTGTTTCCAGAGGGAACTTAGGGAATGGTCTGAATCTAAGCAAGTGTCAGCTTGATCAGTGATCAGGATGAGAAACCATGGGGAATCCAGGTTAAATGTGGGATATGTATTTTCCAGAAGCTTACCAAATGGGAATCTAGCCTGATTATTGCCCAACAAGCATATACTCTCCATAGCATTTGCAGGCCAGAAAAAAAGGAAAATAGCTCCTGGAACAAAATTATTCTCCAGTGTAGATCTAACAATGCTGAACACACAAAAAGATCTAGGGCTTAAATTCACATTCATGTGAGTCGCAAATTGTATGAAGTGGAATCAAACCGAGATTAACTATGATATTAAGTGTTCTACAGAGCAGAGCTCAGCCCAAGTGAAGCCCATGCTATGGTTTAATAACTCCCATCTCTCCCAGTGTAAAACGAGTTTTCATCACTCCCACTGTACTGGGTTTATTTCAAATGTACTTCAGCTCCTAAAACGTAATTGCTGTTAAGGCAGCTAGAGGGAAATTTGAAGTAAAGCAGACTCTTAATCAAGTCCAACAAATATAACCACATGCAGAATGTGTGGTTAAGACCATGTTTATATGGCTGGCTGAGCACATGGCAGTGTACTGTATATGGTTTATGGAGAAGAGATAAGTGAGTCAAAATATGGCTCACCATCAGGTTTCCATGCTTTTTTGCACAGCATTTGGACAAACTCCTGCTAAAAGATTATGTAGTCCACAGATTGCTTCTAACCAAAGAAATGCAATGCAATATTTAGCTATGGTAAGATGGTAAATACTTCAAGATTTTCATATTTACCAAGAACTAACAAAAAGGATCTATTTTTGCCACCTGATTTTAAAAACAGGCTTGCAGTCACAGACTCTGTTGGGCTCTGCAATCCAAGCCTTCCCTTTTCTACATTCAGCAAAGGGCTTGACCCTGTAATATGATAATAAAGAAGAGCATGGCTCCAGAGGTGAGTAATAGCACCTAAAACAAATTCTGTCGTGGAGTCTTGGGAAGTTAACTTCTTTTAAAAGGTGTTGAGCTTTTAGGCTTCTTGAAAACCTAACAAATGTTATTTTTCTAGTGAAAGGGCAGATGGGCTATGGTTCTTCACTGAGGATGTGGGACAGTGATCAGAAACAATCTCCTTGTGTGCAATTTATTACAAATACTGTGACTAAGCCCTAACACTTACAAAACATTCTGGGGCCAGAGGCCTGATTCAAATTGAGTCTTTAGCCACAAACCTACAATTAATTAAAATATATACCAATATGAAAACCCCCAGCGTTTGACAAAAACATATAGAAAATTTTCATGTGATGGCATCACATTTTAAAGAAGTAATATTCCTTATTAGGCCCTGCTTCTGCACAAAGATTGCATACTTCTAGGTGTGGCAACTCCAAGTATATGGATTTATCTAGTCCTGCCCTCAGGCACCTGCAGACAAATCTATGGAACACCAGGTCCTACTGATGAAGACTCAGTTGCTGCTCAGGGTCACTCTCCCATGTGTTGAATATGTTGGACACACTATCATCAGTTTGAGACCAAACCTCAATAATGCATGTCTGCTTTTAAATATGGGATCTCTTTAGGTCCATTTCAGAGGTTTTCATAACTCTTACCTGCTACCGGTATGGCATGTATCTGTGCCCGCGACAGGAGTTCCAGCGATGGCTCACGTCCAGAAACTCCATCTGAAGAAAAACACGATTCAGTTTCATAAATTGTCTGCAACATCTCTGGCAGTCCCCTCACCGAGGATACAAGAAGCATGCCAAGGAGTGGTTGCACACTTCTGTTATTCCACTTCAGTTTCTCTTTATAACAATCCGTTGCACAAGCAAAGGCTTCACAAGGGTGTCTGTTCTTAATGGTATATTGCCATCGTAAACAATCCGACATCACCCTCTTAGGTTAGCCATAAAAAATACACACACACACACAACTGTCCTCGGTGTAGAAAAGTAAAGTTAAATTCTTTCACAGCAGTGATGGTGGTGATGAGGAAGCTTCCAAGAATAAATCAAAGCCGCCAGGAAGTGAAACGAAAAAATGCTTGTAGTCTAAAATCTCCTCACTTTGGAGAAAAAGTGGAAGAGAGACAACTGTTTTCTCAAGTGCAGAGAGCAAAGAAGTAAAAGAGGCACAGGGGAAAGATAAGGGAAGAGTGGGGGGGAAAAGGTTTGCATCTCAGGTGTGGCTCAATTCATTCCGATTTTGCAACATTTCCATAAGACATCAAGGACGTTTAAAAAAAAATAAAACAAAACTGAACATCCAGAATGATGTATTCAGTCTCTACGAAAAGAGATTTCTAACAAAAAGAAGGCTGAGGTTCCCTGTCAATCTTACGAAGGCTCCTTTTCCATGAGACGCAAGAGTCGTCTCTCTTCCATGCGATTGTTTCCCATCCCTGCCAAGGGACTGGGTCTTGGGGGGGGGGGGGGGGAGAATGACCTGAAATAGAACGTTGGGGAGGAGCCAGCTATAAATAAACCCGAGCCAAGCTCTCTGGGAGCCGAGGATGGTTCAGGCAAAAGGAGCTGCCTGCCTATCAGATGCTGCATTTCAACCACAGGGGTCAGTGGAAAAAATTCCCTCGGGGAAAGGCTGTGTCTGCTGCCAAGCCAAAGAGAAGGCAGCCGAGGCATGAAATCAAAGAGGGCGGAAGGGCTGCTTCTGTGTTGTGAATGTCAGAGTCCACCTACAGATGAAGCCTGGCTGGTTTATTTAAGCCCAGTGATTTTAAACAGGGTATTCTACAAATATGTGACTAAAACAACAAAATGCCCATCAAAGGCTGTAATCCTAAAACCTTATTTGCAAATATCAAGGCAATGTTTTCTATACTAAAACAGCAGTGGCAGCAGCAGAAGCAGCAGCAAGCTCACCAAACAAACATGTCATGCCCATAAAAATCCATTTTTATATTGTGGGTAAATTATACATACTGAAGACACTGGTTTGTGTCCTGAAGCTCTACTTTCTCAGCTACTGAAAGTTTTGCTGGGCATCAACCGTCAAATCACTGAGGTTTAATCTTTATTTAACTGGTGTAGTACCTAGCCCCCCAGTCTAACCTGTTATATAACGCACAGATGCCTCTACAGTCTTTAAACAACTATCTCACACATTTCCTCTGAAATAATGTTATTTCTTTGGAATATAATTCCTAGACTTCCCTAGTCAGAACTGCCTATGGATTCTGGGAGTTGTACTCTTAAAAAGTACTGTAATGTTTTGAAGCTCTGCAAATAACAACCATGTAATGTGACTGAGTTTACTCACTAGTAATATAATCCTGTGCACACCTATCTAGCAGCATGCCCTGTTGAACACAGTGGGACTTAACACTGAATAAACATGTACAGGATCACGCTGTTAATTTTGTAGTTTTATTAAATCTTTCTGTCCAAGCTAAAAAATCTGTACAAACATTGTCATGTTTCCTCAGAAACCTCTGCTGCAGAGCTTAGAAAACTTACCTTTTGGCATTATACCTCCCAAATCCCAATTTATCATCATAATTATCTTAGAACTGCAGAGACAGCAGGGACTTATCATCATCATTGAATCCAGCTCCTATGGGGAACTGAACTCCCAACCTTTAGCTCCACAAGCAGATGGCTAAACCACTGATCTATCCAGCAGTGTAGTCCTAATAATAATAACAACAATAACCATTCTCAGCTATGTCTCACTAATTCCCTCACAATACAAGCAAGCATTCACTTTGTCATGGAGATCAGACCCACTCTGATCCATCATACACAGTAGTTCTTCTAAGACACCACCAATTTGGCATTTACTTCCTAAAGAACTAAAACAATGATCCAGCTAGCCTCACAGATGGAGGGTGCTGAACTGTACGTTGTATCATCATTCACATGGGTTATGCTGACTAATACTGATGGGAGCTGTAGTCTCAACAACATCTAGAGGTCTCTTTGCTTGCCCTGGTCCTAGAGCAATGATTCCCAACCTTGGATATCTAGGTGTTCTTGATCTGCAACTCCCAGAAGCCTTCACCACTAACTGTGCTGGTGGCAAGGGCTTCTGACAGTTACAGTCAAGAACATCTGGAGACATGAAGTTGGGGACCACTGTTCTACAGTATATAAACAAAATAGGATGGAGCATACTACCTCCATAGAGTAAAGCACACCCTAAATTAACACATGCTAAAAATTATATTATAAGCAAATGATACTTTTATTGTACAAATGGCAAAATTTTATTGAACCAGAGTTACACAACGTTTTGTTTATTTTACTCAGCACACTTAGGATAATGGAATATGGAGCAAATAAAATTTCAAAGCAGATATACCTCCCAGCTAATAAAATGTTTATTGTTTAATTGCACATGTTTCAAAAGACTGGCCAATAAAGCAAATAATCTGTCAAAAATTTGCATATAAAAGGAAATAATAGATCTCAAGAGAAGAACATTGCTTTGTTTTATATGCCACATTCACACATCAAATCAAGCAACACATCACAGAGAGCTAAAACAATGGATTACCATTCAGTTGTAGAATACATGCATTGCACACTGGAGATCTCAAGTCCAATTCGTGACCTCTTGCAGGAAAGTTGGGATACATTGCTGTCTCAAACAATGTGAAACTTACTATCAGATACTGTTGACAATGCAGAGTAAATACTGACATCAGCGATGCAGCTTAAAGCAAGACAGTTTATCTTCAAAAAGGGCAAAAAGCGGGACCCTGGGAAGCAGTCAGCATGACATCAATCAAAGTGAAAATTCTGGAGCAGATTATAAAGCGGTCACTATGCAAGCGCCTTCAAAACAGTGCAGTAATAACTAGAAGCCAACATGGATTGTCATAAAGGAATCCTGCCAGACTAATCATCTCATTTTTTGATCGGTTAACCTCTCTGGAAGATGGTGGGAATGCAGTAGATGTAACATATCTTTAAGCCAACTAGATGTGGGCTGGACAGAACAACTGTTAGGTGGATACACCATTGGTTACAGAATTGTACTCAGAGAATGCTTATCAATGGTTCATTCTCAAACTGTGAGAATGTAACAAGTGGGATACCACAAGGCTCAGTCATGAGCTCAGTCAGTCATATTAATGACTTAGATGAGTGGGTGCAGGGGACGCTTAACAAATCTGCAGATGACACAAAATGGGATGGAGTAGCTAATATCCTGGAAGACGGAAACAAAATTCAAAAAGATCTTGGTAGGCTTGAGCACTAAGCTGAAAACAACAGAAAGACTGCATAAGCAGAAGTATAGTCTCAAAATCTCATAAAGTATCAGTTATCCTCTATTCGGCACTGGTTAAGCCTCATATTGAGTACTATGTCCAGTTCTAGACACCACACTTTAAGAAGGATGCTGATAAACTGGAACAATTTCAAAGGAAGGCAAGAAGGATGATTAGTGGACAGGAAACCAAGCCCTATAAGGAAAGGCTGAAAGAATCGGGCATGTTTAGTCTTCAGAAAAGAAGACTGAGGGAAGATAGCACTTTTCAAATGCTTGAAAGATTGCCATACAGAAGAGGGGCAGGATCTATTCTCAATTATCCAGGAGTGTAGGACACCTAATACAGTAATGGGCTGAATTTACAGGAGGCCAGATTTCAGTTGAATATCATCAAAAATATCCTGACTATTAGAGTGGTACAACAATGGAAACAATTGCCTTAGGAGACAGTGAGCATTCCAACACTAGAGGTATTAAAGAGAAAATTAACCAGCCATCTGTCAGATATACTTTGATTTTGATTCCTACATTGAGCAGGGGGGTCAGACTTGATGGCCTTATGGTCTCACTCTAACTCCATTATTCTATCAACCTAGGAGAAAGGAAAAGGTCATGTCTCTTCTGCTGACAACAGGCAGTTTTTACATGTATTTGTATTAACAAACAGCAGGCAATGGCTCAACAAATTTGCATACCATAACAAACCTTCTTTCCTCTGATAAGCATGAAAATGGCCCAAATCTCCATCCAAACATAGAGATTAGTATGGAAAGGTATTTTGTTTGTTTGTTTGTTTGTTTAGAACCTGCCTTTCTCCTTAGAAAAGGACCCAAGGTGGCTTACAGTATTTAAAGACAATATTTAAAAACAAAACAATGAGTATACAAAGGTATCCACTTTCTGAAACTTCCAGTGGACAACCATCATGACCAATAGCCTCTGAGTGCTTATTCTCCATCAGTCTCACCAATATTCCTTGAAGATCCCTTCACTGGTCATCATTACATCTCTTCACAACTTAATCTGAAGAAAAAGCAACACATCTAGACTTCTTTTGATGGAAGACAGGCTATTTTGTAAGTTCTCAATGCCTTCACAGTTTCTCCAAAGTATGGATTCTATTCCTCAAGCCTCAGAATTAACACTCATTCCTCCAGTGAGCTAATTCCATTGAACTTATATGTGGTTTCTGCTAGACAGATGCGCTTTCCATCAATCTAACCTGATCAGTTTTCCATCTCGCCTTCCAGAAGGTATAAGATAAACTTTCGGGCTCTTATGCTTTTATGTAAGAAAAGACAACAGCTACCCCATCTCAACATTTCAGGAACCCATGAATTACTTCCATTGCTAAACTTTGGGAAGGCTGGTAGGGAAAAGATTGGCCATCTTCATGTTCCTTGAAGTCTGCAAGAGGTGGCCATAAAACAACAATCTTCTAACAGTGGACACACATAAAATACATGTGTTTTTTTTACAGACTAAAGCCCATGTTGTCAAAATGTCTGGAAACCATGCTTGCAGGACAGCACAATGATGTGGGGTATGGGTTTTTTTTTTCTGGATTGGAAATAAAAGTTACAGACTCATGGCTACAGACAAACAAACCAGTAGGAACCTGGTCAACTGCAGCTACTTCATACATTTTCCAGTATTAATGGCAGGTGCCTGCACAAGGAAATTATCTCTAAAATGATAACATGTAAGTTTCTTAGATGCAGAATCATATCCTTTGAACATGGCCAGCCTAGGATTTCTGTAAGTACCACCATCATAGAATCAAATTAGACATTCAGAAAAAATGCATATTTCCTGCAATGAATATTCTTTCTCTCTAGCAACAGTATCTCTGCAAAGATGCCTGCATCAGCAATCAAGAATTGCAAAGTAAATTTCTGTGACCAATCATAAAATAAATCACATCTAAATACAAGATACACAGATAATGAAAAGCACCTAATATGACAAACAGATGTTTTTCATCACTTAAGGGAATATCATTTCTAAATACATGCAAAAGATACTGTGTATTATGTCCTACAGAAGAAATTTTACCCCCAAAATACACAAGAAGCTTTTAATGATTCAGGAATTCCATATC